TTGGTTTTCCATCCAGTCTTCATCGCTCTTGCTTCTTCACTTAGGCTGAACTTGGAGGCAGATGCTGTTGCTCAGCACATCTGTAGTGCCTCCTGCAGTAGCTCAATTCCCCGTCACTTGTGCCTGTAGGTACAGCTTTCAGACAAACCACAGCTGCTCTGCTGCATCTACCATGCAAATGAATACAGACCATTTGCTTCATGTAGGGCTTCCTGCTTCACCCAAATCCTGAAGAGCTGTAAGGACTGCATTGTTATTGCCAAACTGCTGATACTGCTTTTGCAAAAGTGATGAGAAATCAGTTTATCGCTGTCTAGGTACTGGTTATTAGAAAAAAAGACTTGCAGCCTCTAAGCCTTAAGTACCCTGGCAGCTGTCAGGCCCTGCCTCCTGGGCCACTCAAAGGATTTCCATAGTTAAAAGGTACTTTCATTTGCTTTCTCTGGTGGACTGTCATTTCTGAAGGTGGTGAGGTCCTGGCCCAGTTTTTTAATTCTTTTGCTACCTTTCTTTTATGGCCTAAACGTCTTGGTTTTCATGTATGTTTAACAAGCTCCTGAGGGAAATTGTATGAGACTCTCAACTTGTGGTCAATACGAGCATTGGTATTTAAGACTGGTAGAGCTTAAGTTTTCAGGCCCAAGACAGATACTGGGGGGTGGGAGGGGAGATGAGGAAAGTTGTAAAATAACACTTGTAAAAAAAACAATTTTCAGAGGCAGCTTTGGCTTCCAAACTCAGGAGAAGTACCCATCTGTGTGCACACTGATGTAAATGCATAAATAAAACCCAGGGGTAAGTACCCTGAGCAATTCAGGCAGTATCTGCTAATTTACCCGAGTTCTCCGTTGTGGGATGCTGTGCCACAGACTGTCACATGTTGAGCTGCTGCATTCCCGGTTCAGTTGCTGTTCAGGATTTAAAACAAGCTCCAGCTTGGTGAAAGCTGTGAAGCAATTTCACCTCCAATGACTTTTTTAAGCAAAGTCTCAGCAATACTTGTATTTTATAGAATAAATTACACTTAAACTAAATGTGAATTTTGGTCTCAGTATTTGTAAACCTTCCTCATGCCAGGTAGGTATGGAGTTCCTTTTGCTGCCAAGGCAGTGGCTGGATGTGGGATATATACTGACCAACCTGCCAGGCTAATGTAATTTGAGTAGTCCTGGAAACACTTTCTCCTGTTTATCTTTCCTTTTAATGTCATTAGCTCCATGCTAGTGCTTGTTCATGCAAGTCTGGCTGTCCTCACATCTCATCCAAGTATTACTCCCTAAGTAGCCAACATTTTCCTAGAATACAGTAAAACCTCTTCCAAAACCCCAGAATCTCCTCCAGTATTGACCTCTTCTATGATACACAGTGTAGGGCAAAATGCACAGTGCTGCTTTGTACAGCTCGGGGTTAGGGTGGCAGCAAAATTCTTGGCTGCCAAATTTTTTTCTGATTGATTTTTCTTGGTGTAGGTTTTGTATACAATTATGTATGGAGATAACTGTTGAAATGTATTTTTCCCTCTTTAAAACATGCATGTTGCACATTCCTTCTCCTCCCCCGGGCCCTCATCATTTATTGCCTGTGAGTACCATAAACATGCTTGGTGTCAGAAGGGGAGGCTGCTTCCTTGGGTTTTAACATAGAAGAAAGTTTGCTGTTCTACCACCCTGAACTGTGCTAAACCCTGTAAAACCTTGGTGAAGTGTTTGGATTTACATGTGTATTAGAGTCTGTCACTGTGCATTTCTGACCCTGCTTGTTCTCACAACTCTCTCTGCCTATTGGAAGCTCTGGTGGGATTTTTTTTTTTTCTTTTACTGTATATTAAACTGGATTTGACATCTGTAAAACTTTAAAAACTGCTCTCCTTTAGCTGAAAACACCCTACCAAAAATTGTAGCCATTAGCTAAACTTTCTAATGTAAACATGAAGATGATTTAGTACCTAATTGTTATTTGAATACAATCCTGTAGAGCAGGCCTAGGAGATGCGGCTTGTTATCATTTTGACTTCATATTGATAAAGTCAGCTAATACATGGACATTTTTAAATGGTGAGTTGTTTTCTAAAACCCCTGTTGTCTTTTTCACAGCTAATATTTTCACAATAAACACAGCCAAACAAAATGTTAATGTACAAATTGTGAAATTCTGTTAATTCCCAACAAAATATTTTTGTATATAATAAAGATTTAATATTGAAAAAAAACATCCTTTGCTTTCTTCTGATTCTTGGCCCTACTCTGAATTTTAGCCAAGGAAGCTATCAAGAAGCAATCTTGCACGTCTGTGCACATCTGCCCTTTATCTTTGCTTAATCCTTCACTGCTGAAAATTGTCTACACATTTACACACAAGTGTTTCCTGCTTGTGCACCCGTGTTCGTGTGCTAGTGCCAAATATTACCCCAGTTGGGCTTTGTGCTCCACGTGCTGGTTTGTTGCCTGTGGGGCTTTGACAGGCGTGGCAGGTGTCAGAGGTACAACATGTGCTGCTGGTGGCACGTGTGGGGGCCTCATTTAGTGCTGCAGGTTGAGAAAAGCTGCCTTTCAGTGGGTCTCGTTTGGCCTGATGTTCTCGAATGCAGCGAGTCCCCACTCACTGTACAGGGCACCTGGGACATCTTCAGCCATTCTGTAACTGTCACTGCTGAGCTCTGGCTGTGTGTTCTCTGAGCACTGCAGCATTGAGGGAGTTGTTCTCCCGGGCCTACGCTGTAATTAGCCAGTGTACAAAAACCCAAGGGACTTGGGACTGCAGTGTGGACACAGGCGAGTGCCTGTTCCTGATAGCCAGGCTGAGCCTCTGGCCTCTGGAGATGGCATCTGCTCTTCAAAAAGAGCCTGCTGATCTCATCTTCCCTGGTCCTGAGCTGATGCTGAACAGCATGCTAAGCTGTGCTTTCTTCCTCCTTCCCCCTGGGGAATGGAGACGTACAGCAAAGGGAAGCAGCATTTCTGGGAGGGAAGCCAGAGCATGAAATTAAACCTTTTATGAGCCAAGCGCCATCCTTCTCTGAAGGAGCCTACAGCTCCTTTACCACCTCCGCTTTCTAGGGAAGACCCCAGCTAACCTTGAAAAAGCATTTTCTGCATGAGGCCAGCCTGTCAGAAGGCATCTCTGTTTTATGCAAGATGTAGTGGTGGATGCACGTCCAGCTCTTCCAAAGTGGAGTCTGAATCAATTTGGCTCAGTGCAGCTTAGGCTGGGACCCTGAAGGGAGTATCCTCATTTAGCTCAGGGAAGGGCAGGACAAGAGTTACTTGGAGAGAGAGACGCTGCTTCTGCTGTTCCCTTGGATATTCTTATCCCCAGCCTGAGTTATTTTTGATATTAATGTGCACAAGGATCTTGCTTTCAAGAGTGCAGAAGAAGGAACTGGAAGGGGAAAAGATGAACATAATAAGCCACCTTAGTGTTTCTTTTTCCCTGGCTGTGCTGCTCACTCAGTTCTAAATAGGCCATCCTAGGCCTAGAGGTGCTTCTGTGGTCACATAAGTCCTGCCAAATGGAGGAAATTTGGGAAAACCCTCCACAAAGTGCACACTAATGGCTGTCTTCCCTGATCAGAGGCCCTGGTGCTGCTGCCCTGTTCCCACATCAGAAATGTAGCCCAGCTTGGCAGTGTCTCATGCAACATCTCCCTGAGTTCCCAACTGCAGCAGAATTCCATGATAGAGCATAGGGCCTCCCTCCATCCTCCCTGGCTGTTGGTACTGGCAGTCAAGCTGGGAAGCTGCTGGGACTCCTGGTACCACACCCACTGCCAGAGCACTACATGGATGCCCATGTAGCCACCATCTTTCAATACCAAGGGAAAGACTGGAATCCCCAGGAAAACCAATGGAAATTAAATGCATGAGGTTATAAGTTATTGTATTTTTTTACATAATTTTTAATAGAAAGTTTCGATAAATTAGTTACAGACACAACTTCTGAGCAGTGACTGGCAAAAGAAGACTTTCCCACTTACAAACACACATCACCCCCAGAAGCAGAGCAACATACTCCTAAAGGACATTCCCATATCTACCCATACAACATAATCAGCTTCATTTATGAGATAAGAGACAGAAACAGCAGCAGCTCCATGTGCAAGGCTGTCCTGTGCTCTCAGGCTATGGAAAGGTACCACAGGATCACAAAAAATTCCAATTAAAGGCAAAGCAGTTCAAAGCACAAACTGCTTTACTAACACTTCACCGTTAGTCAAAGAAAGAAGCAAAACATCTGCACTTAAAATGTCTTACAGGTAGAAGGATCATTTTTGTGGAGTGCAGCAGGGACACTCCATGGGCACAGACCAAAAGGCATCACCGTACCTCGAAGTTCAGAATAGAACTTAAACAGCTGAAACTTGATAAGGTAAGAACTTACTAGAAAACAGAGCAATGTTGTACAGAGGCAAAAATCCCCAAGGTGGTCTTAGTTTTTGAATAATTTATTTCCTGCAAGTGTGCAGCTCACATTCCTAAAGCCAAACTGCACTTAATAAATGCAAATTGAATCAAGTACCCCTTTGAGTGCCCTCCGTTCCACCTGCTGCAGATTTTGCACATCCAGAACTACACAAGCAAAACATTCACTGTGTTGCAAAACCCTGGGTTTCACAGCCTGCCTGTTTGCTTCCTTACAAAAAGCAGTTTGTACTTTGCAGTCTTCTCCCACGCATATTAATGCAGGCGATCAGGCTCCCACTGCTGTGTTCTGTTCTGTTTCAGGCGTGTCTTTTTTTTCCTTTTCCCCTTCACTGCTTATTTATGCATTTCCTACTGCAGACAGACCTCAGGGAAGCTGCAGAGCAGAAGCAGACCTGGTGGGAGTGCAGAATGCTCACCCTAGCCATGCCGAGTCCACCCTGACATCCACAGCCCCTGGCTGGACTGCACTAAGTACTCAACTGAGAGGCTCTACTGCGAGCTCCAACACACAGACACCACCCTGCAGAGCTACAGAAGAAAGAACAGGCTAGAGCAGCAACTGGGTCCTCAGCAAAGCTCCTATACATTCCCACCTAAAGCATAAAATCCATGCAGTGCAACATAAAGAACAAGTGGGTAAAATCTCGGTTCTTTCATAGTTACAGCTTTTACAGAAGACTCTGTCATTTCCAACTTAATGTTTGATGATGCAAACAGCCTTTGCACGACATCAAATCTTCCTCTGTCAGTGAGAGGAGCCACCAAAGGACTGCTCAGTGTCAAAGTGCCATTGGCTGAAGTGATGTTAGGCTGTATTTATAAAAGAGAGCAAAACACAGAGAGATTAAAGAGGTTTTCCAAGCAGGGCTATTCCTGCCATTGCAGAGCTCAGCTCCTTCTTACAAAACCACCAGAGAGCTCATAAGGCAGCTGCAGAAGAGCAAGACTCCCTGTACTATGAGCCTTGACAAGTACATCCTACTCATCCACAACCAAAGCTCTATGGCACCCTTTAAGGAGAAACATTAACCACCACGTTTCCCCCCAGTCCAGCATCTCTCATTAGATCACACTTAAACTCTCGCTCTTACCCTGAGCAAACAGCAGCACTCTTCTTGCCTCTACACATTTACAGGTTTTTACAATTATTTTTGTCAGTGAGCTTAAAAATAATTTTTAAAGCCTCGTCCCATTCCTTCACTGGTTTCAAGGAATGGCCTCAGAGTTTTGGAGCTTCAGAATTTGCCAAGGCCCAAGCACTGCTGCTATCCAAGTAAAATTTCTGTTTCCCAAGGGCAAGTGATTATTGACTTTAAAATGGGCCAGTGAGACTATCAGTTAATCAAAATTTGAGCTTAAGTTACAATTTTCCTTTGCTCACAGCCCATGAAATCTCCCAAGTACAGCAATGTTTTAGAAGTTAGGTATCCACGTGCATTAAATTATCTCCCTCTTTTACCACTGTCAGGCTCTGACCTTGCCTAAGCAATGCCTACAGCTGAAATCTGCACTGGAGCTTGACATCTTTATTGGGTGAGAAACACAATAAGGCAGAGAACAGAGTCATTACTGCTGCTGGGGCCACATGCTACCCAGTCACAATTTTGATTACTCACCAAGCAACACAATGCAGGAACAAGGTGAAGATCACAGCAGTCTCGCAGCAGGACAAGAGTGTAATCAGACAGCTCTGTGAAGGAAACATTAAAAAGGTAAGACTGTTTCCAGCGAACCCTGCACTAGGCTGACTGCTGGATAGGGGAGGTTCTTAGCTCTGGTACAGGGTTCTCCTACAGAGCAAAGACAGACAAGCTGCATTTTCAAGGCCCATCTGCAGATACGGCACCTCATGAAATGGATACTGGAGACCAAAGCGATTCAATGCCGAGGACATTGTGACACAGTTGTCACAAGTGCCCTGCTGGACGCTCGGAAGAGGCTGATTAAGACCTTTCCTGCCTGCTTACCAGAGCGCAGAATAAAAGGGGATAGGCAATGGGTACAAGCCCCACACTGACTACTCCTGCCCTTGAAAAATGCAGCTCAAAGGAAAGGGGACTTCCTCCCCATCATTCTCATCTCCTCCCCAGGTATCACCCAGTGTTTCCCTCCGAGTCTGCAGGCTGGATGAATGATTCAGGCTTGAATAAAACAAGAACCTCTGCCCTCGGAATCTATATGAGATGCTGACTTCAGCAGCACCATTTGAGAGGCATGACATAGCTGAGACTGCCTTGGGGCAGGGAGATGGACTAAATTGTCCCTGTGGTGTCCTTCAACTCTGTAACTCAAGGCTGTAATTCCTCATAGAAGCAACAGACATAAAACAGCATTTGATTCTTGATCCAGCTACATTTATACCTGGACATTAGCAGCAGACATTATGTCTAATGCCAGGTGATAATGCAGCACACTCAATTAAACATGCCCTGCAGCTAATAGCTTCTGACAAGTGTTACCACATCAGCAGGATTCTGTTTTCTATTTCTTTTCTGTCTCCACAAATGAGTTAAGCTTTCCTGCCAGGGTACTGTGTGTGTACCATTCTGCTGCACAGTGCGACATCTAACTCATACCACACTGGACTTCCCTTCATTATCTTAATGTCAGGAAATTCTTCTTGTATGAGGGAGAGAGGAGAAAAACCCAGGAAGGAGTCTGCATTGGACTTTGCAGGTAGCTTTTAATTAACACTCTGGTGCCAACTAGATTGTGAGCATGGCATTTGTCTGACATTCGTGTTTAATCTCCTTTTGCAGCAGCTGCAAAACAACCCTCTAATTGCCATGTCCTATGTTAAATTCATTTTTGCTAAATGTAGTTTGCACCTCAACAATAAATGCTGTTACACTGAAGGCAACACCTGATTTGTAATTCTCAGCATTCAGATGGCAAGAAATCTGGTATGCAGATTGGGACAGATAAGGACAGAAATGATCTAGGCATACTGCAAGTGCCTACACTCAGCAGAAAGCAGAGCTGAGCAATCTTGGGGAAACATATATTTTATAAGCAAAATCTGTCAGTGATTGAGGGCTGAATTTAATTCAGTCAGG